CTTTTACAATTCATTGACTTTGTTTAAGCATTATGCACATTTGTGTTACCCAGAAAACCACGTCATTTCAGAAAAAGTACACCAGATCGTTTTTCAGACATTTCACCTTCATTTTTTACCTTTCCAAGGTCGCAAAAACAATTTTTTCATAAGACAAGTTTGATGTAAAATTTTCCGCTCTTTCGAAATCCGCAGTCAAAAATAGGGTGTCCCATTAGAAAAAACCATCGTGACCTTGAAGTAACCTTCAAAATTGACCTCAAGGTCAAAACCAATGGTACAATTGAATGACCCACTCTGTCCTGGTCAACTTTTATCTAAACCATTTTTTTGTAGATACCGTAATTTGGAAGATATTCGGATCCATAGACTAAAATGACTCACCCTGAATATATATATATGTATATATATATATGTGTATATATATATATATGTTGGAATGAGAAAAGGAGAATTTGTTTCAAATACAAGAAATATAAGTCAATGAAATGAAGTCAATTAATATTTTGCTATAGTATCATATCTAGAACTTATACACTGATATTGAGATCACTGATCTAGAACTTATACCCTGAATGCGTTGTGACCATGAAGTATGTGTTGTAAGAAAAAATTCTTAACATAAAAGTTATATGGTTATGAGGAGGATACTATAGCGATCTTGAAAACTACATAATCTACGGTACAAAGACATTTGAAAGTCAAGTTTTCTTCAATGAAAAATATTTTTCATAGCAAAATTTCAAAACAAAAGAAAATTTTATGTCCGAAACCCTTTGGAACTTTTTATGTTTTTTTCCTTGAAAAAATATTAGAAAAAGTTAACCTTCAAAACGAACTCATGGCTCATTTTTGTCCGAACGATTTCAACTTCATGAGATTTTTTGGAAATCAGTGCGTTTAGACCGACGCACAGTGGGGAAAAACGAAAAATTGTGTTTTGAAATTGTTAGATTAGGATTAGAGACCTTAAGCCTTATCCGATTTTAAAGCCGATTTTTTAGTTAGTCTTTTCTGAAATGGCGAATGTATATAGCGATTGGAAAACAGAAAACATTTATTGTTTTCAACCAATTTATATCAAATTGAATATTTAGTATAGTTTTTATATCGTAGAATATAAATCTAATATTAAAATTATGAAATATTATAATGAATCCAATATGATCGACTTGAATAATAAAAATATTATAAATTATATTATAAAAACATTATAAATATATGAGGCATTCTTCGTCAAACCGGCCATCTCCTCTGCCCAAAATTTGTATAGATCGATTGAGGTCAATCGGGGCTCAAATTTTAGATAATCATGTCTAGTGTCGTTTGCCATCTGGCTTTTTGAGACATTCATCATGGCGGCTCTAATATGGCGGCGGAAACTAGAAAAAAACGATAGAAAAATCCGTACGTAACTTTCTATACGCCACACGATTACTTAAGTCGGCTCCAAAATGATCAACCCAAGGTTCTTAAAGTCGCTGATTACAACCTTAAGATTACAACCTTAAATGCACCCTTTATGCATTTCATGCGAATCAATTGAGATCTTCTAGAGTATTATCATTAGATTCAACAATAAGTGTTCTAAGGTTAGTAGTTCTCAAAGCGATATTCAAAGCTCATCTAGAACGCCTCTTTAACCTTCATTTACTTTACTTCTTTCAAGGAAATTGGTGGAAATCTTGAGGAGCATTGGAATACCGTTATTGATAAAATTATTGATAACGTTATTGAAATACAGTTATTGATATCATTATGGGAATACCGTTATTAATAAAATTATTGATAACATTATTGATAAATCCAAAAAAAATTTTGAAGCCGATTTGAGTAATCGTGTGGCGTATAGGAAGTCACGTACGGATTTTTCTATCGTTTTTTCCAGTTTCCGCCGCCATATTAGAGCCGCCATGATGAATTTCTCAAAAGGCCAGATGGCAAACGACACTAGACATGATCACCTAAAATTTGAGCCCCGGTTGACCTCAATCGATCCATACAAATTTTGGGCAGAGGGGATGGTCGGTTTGACGAAGAATGCCTCATATATATAAATCTGTTTTTATAAATTGATTTGCATAAAGATTTGCATGTGAATATATATTTTGTGGTCATTAATTGTTAACATGTTACAACAATTAAGAAGTTCAAAATAGTGAATCATGTACGGTGAATGTCGAAATTGAAAATTTATTAATATTTATTAATATTTGTTGAAAATCATATTGAAAAATTTTAAACGACTCGTGTAGAAATTTTTGTGTTGAGTTTTTAACATATCAGTGTGTTAATCTTTATCCTGTGAAGGTTTTTTTGCAACCTTACATTGTTGACGAAGGTCAGATTGACTCCACACGTTTTTGAGCGGGTAAAGGTCTTTAAAAAAATCTGGAAAAATTTAGGTAACATCTTCAAACACTCCAAACTGAGGTCCGAATAGAAATATTGTATAATAGTTTGTTTAAATACATTATTTTTGTGAATATATAAAGTAAAAAACGAAAAATATACTGTTATCATAAAAAAATTGTAACTTTTGAAAAAATTATTATAGAGCAAAATATCCACAACGGGAAGTTAAAGTTTAGTGATCAGATTTTCATGAAAACAATATAACGATTTACCAATAACGATTAAGTGTTTAAGATTAGGGCATGAATTGTTGTAAATTTTAAAATATCAACTACGTGAGATATGTCTATAGATTAAAATATCAAGGTCAGGATTTGAGGATAAAAAATATTTTTTCTTTACTGTGTACTATTTATTTTGTGTATTAGTATACGAAAATAGATAGTTTAGATGGAATACGTGAAAAAATGAAATAATAGTTAACTTTGTGAAAATACATGTATAGGGAAAAATATCCTGTATTTATAGATTAGGTCTACATTTATAGCTTGTATCAATAAATATTCATATATTTTCATAAAAACAAATGAAAACAAAACAAATTTAACGAAACAGATTTACTTGCACAAAAAGTATACACAAAGTGTAAAGGCGGTCGCAGATGTCCCATGGGGACAACTTTAACTACGTTGCATTCCAGTATACAAAGACGCAGGTATACCGCCATGTATAAGCAACGACCTCTATCCAACATTATTTTTTATAGATAAGACTAATGGTTTGAAACTCATTGATTTAAGAGATACGCGGGCTTTTAAAAAATACTGGGGTTAATTTGACTCCCTTTACAGTGTAAGAGTTAATCTAACATATCGTCGTCGCGTTTGACTTTACTATCTTGAATTCATGTTCACCATTTTTGAGTGTTAAAATAACATAATTTATATGTAACATATACTTTCTAACATATACTTTCTAGT